TGTCTGTGCGTCTTCGTTCTGTTCCTGCCAGTAGATTACACCAGTCAGTTCAACGTCAGTGTTATACTGCATTTCACGTGTATGTTCGCGTCTGGGTATTTGGGTTCCGTGTAGTCATTTAAGTCGTTTTCGTAGCAGCTTTTGTGTATCTCCGGATTCTTAAGCCGGATATGGTAGGAGTCGTGCGCCACATTTTAGGCCGGTATCCAGTGCGGGGAAGGTTTTGCCTTGACTCCGGTTCCCTTTTGCCTTCCCCTCGTTAGCCTGGTACCGATTTCGTTCAGGGAATCGGAGAGGCGCACGACTATGGCCGCTTAGTGACGTTTTCGCACCGAGGACGGTGCTTGTTTTTAAGGAGGGGAGTGTGTAAGGTTTTGCAGTTCGTTAGCTCGCGCTTCTGAGACCATGTCGTAACTTCGGAGCTAGTGGAGCTTGATCTTGTGGTTCTACGTGTGAGGTTATGGCGCGCTAATATGACTATTTAAGCGGACCATTTTATGAACATTGTAAGTCTAAGTTGGAATTGAAAAGCCCGATCTTCTGTGCCTACGCAAGTATATCGGCCAGTAAAGTCAGCTTACGCTTCCCAGTTGTTAGGAGCGGCCTGGTTCCCTTTCAACAATGATGCACATATTCATCGGACTTTGTGATGCACCTTGTTAGGTGGGCTTGGGAATGGAAAGTGCAGTACGAAGCGTGACTTCCATAGGCGGACGCCTTGCAATTTTCGGTTCGCGAGCACTAAGGCTGCGAAATGCTCCAGCATAAAATTCGTGTTAATGCATGCAAGCACCCACAAACATGACACAGCAAGTTAATCATGGTTTGACAAAGTGCGAATACATATGTCGGGTGTTTGTAACCTCCTGTAACACACGTGCCCCTTTTGCAATTGTGCCTTTCGAGAGGTGCAGTTCCACCTGTTTAGGCGTCATACTTCAACCGCGAAACGGAGGCAAACTGAATGCAGCGTTTTAGGACCTCGCTCCGAAGTTTGGTTTCGGAGCGGGGTTTCATCAAACAAGCATAAGGCCTGCAGAGACGTTGTGGAGTGCTCCGCGCGGCTGATGCTATCGGCCCCTTTTCATCACCAGGGTTTCCTCTGTTTGCAAATACTGTCTTGCTTTTTTGGCCAAGGTTCACGTCGGTGACCGGTTTTGGCGGACTCCAACCCAGTTGGTTGCACGGCCGCGCGTCAGCCGGCCTTGGGCCATTTTGTTGCCTGCATTCCGAATAAACCGCATTAGCATTTAGTAGACCAGAGCGGCCATGGCCTCGTTCGCCGCTTTTGGCCGTCGGCAAGGTTTGGCAAACTTCAAGATGTCGCTACCGTGACGCATTCTTTCTACAGAGTCACGCGAATAACCGGGCCGAGCCCCTGACAGGCGTCCAGAAGCTGTCCAGAAGCTCAAGACCGATAGATACGAACGATAGTATACATGGCAGCAGGGACGGCAGTAGCACCGGTCGATAGCACCACGGCAGGGTTGCTCCGCGGTGCCAAATTCGAGCTGGAGCCCCGGGAAGCATAGGCCCTCTGCGGCAGATGAGGGGCCAGGGCGTGGCTTGACGTGGAAATCTAGGCGTTTATGGGCACCCCGACTGAATTGCAGCGGCAGCGGTGCGTGATGATGTTCCCCGTTGACCCCGAGGGAAGCGCAGCGCTGGTAAGCCGGATCAGTCTGCAGTGGTCTCGATCTCCGTGGCCCAATTGGCACAATCGCCATCACCGTCGGTCATCCCGGCGTTTTGGGAACGACCTGTTTTAGCGGCGGAAACAAGTCAACACGCAGTTGGCGTTACCTTGCGTGGTGTGCGTTGCGATGGGACGTTTGGAGATATAGCCGCACGTTCACGGTTATCATCATCCAAAAATTCACCCTCCGAGGTGGTTTCCTCAGCTTCTTTAGTCCTAGTTATGTATTATCCTCACAGTCGGGCCTCATGCTGACAGCAGGAACTGCAGCAGCAAACAGCAGCGCTCAGTCCTGATGGGGGCCTGTATCACAGCTAATATCCTGCAGTGATTCCTCCACTCCTCCATGAGGTACTTGGTATGCTGGATGAGCTCAGTACAAGCAAGGTCGTGAGCACCACCTCGTTGACGGCGGTGTTGGAAGAGGTCTTGATAACAACAGCGATTTCGACCCAGCTGCTGTCGCTCCCGCTGCTGCCTCCATTGCTGAGCAGTTGCCTCGGTGCATGTACAGCCCCAGGGGGCGACATCGCAAGCCGTGGAACGGGTCACTGGTTGCATGACCATGCATTACGAAATGAGTGCGGCCGGTAGGGCGATGCCTTCATGGATTGATGCTGCTCGTGTTTCCGGACCGCCTCAGTTTGCTGCCAAGTTGCTCGAGTTGAAGGCGCAGCAGCAACAGGTGAAGGAAGCAGCTCGCACGCAACGGGTCAAGGAACCCCACTAGGATGCACCCTCGTAGGATGATTACATGGGGCGCGCGTCGGTCAATCCAGGGCCCTGCAAAACTGCTGGGCTGTAGAGCAAGCGCGCTAGGGGTGAGTGGACTGGTCGGGTGCTGCAACAGGTGTTGGACACCGGGTACATGTCACTTGGGATACTAGGTGCCCAATCCTTTGAGTCCCTTACTTTCCTCGTCTTCTTGCAGCCTTGACCGTCCTGCCTTTCGTGCAGCTCTGGTTTCTCTTTTCTCCCTGCAGGCCATCTCTCTTCACCTCAACCATTGCGGAGAGAGTGCCTTTCCTCCCTTCCCTCCTCCCCGCGGGCCAGAGGTCACTCCCTTTCCCCTCCCCCCTTTCCTTTCGCTCCCGTCCCCTAGGATCGTGGCAAGACGAGCAGGGGTGTATAGAGGTATGGCTCTTGAGCACTTCTTTATGAACGGCTCTCCGAGGTCGCGCCCTCGTTGAAACCCGTTAAAAGCCCGTCGTTAAAGCCCGTCTTACAACCCCGTTACAACCTCGTTGGGGCCAATAAAGCCAGCTGTTTGAATCCTGCGCGACCGCGGAGCATAATGGCAGCATAGATTGCAGCTGCGCAGTTTATTCATTTTGTCTCAGGTTGCCGCTTCGTTTCTCGGGTCGAGCTATCGCAGCCCGATAGGTACAACCTGGCCACGTGATAATCGACCCTGCCAGCCCATCTGCATGAAGGCATGCGCTGAGGAGCGAGACAATGTAGAGAGATTCCCCGTATCCTGGACATATTTGGGTCTGCAAAGTACAGCGGATGCTCGCCGTACAGAGGCGAGGCTACGTGACGTTACATTTTTGTTGAGGAAGGCCACTTAATGCAACTTTGCTACTTAATGCACACACGGACGAATGCTGAGAGAATGTTGATACGTTGATTGTTTCACGCTGGAAAAGCCACGACAATACGTCCTCAGTGGCTGCCGTCCCAATACGCTTGTTTATGTACACTGTTTGTACATATATTTACAGGGAAAAAATTGTCCTTGCATTTCGTGTATGAATCCTTACCGACAACTACGTCGAACTTAACGGTGTCAATTGTCATATGTCCACCTGCCCACCGGCGGAACCTCGGGATCTGGTACAGGTCAAAGCTCAACTGCTGTTCTGAGTGTTGCATATACAACTGGAAGGAGGGGCTCCCTTCCGGGCTTTCCCGGCTTACCGGCAGCGCTTGGCCTACCTACATAACGAAGCGTAAAACCTAATCACACCAGCAGCATCAGCTCTGCAGTCCTGTCCAGGCAGATAGCAGTTCGCCAACCATACCGCTCGTCGAACTCTTCATGAACAGCCTAACTCGCGCTGAAGAGTGTCACGTCTGGGCTTCCGATGATGAATATATGACCTCATCTTGCGCTGCAGACAGACTTAATACTGCACGTATAGCCTTCGGTCTTCGGCCCGCTTTCACACGGCCGCAAGGTTCCTCCAGTCCCGTCAAGTTGGCGGCACAGCTCCCCAATGAGGTAAGTGAATGCTATTCAATCTTGCATATGATTCTTGAGTGTTTTTTTAATAGAGACAGTGATCTGAGCGCACCCGCAGTCTTTTCCCTTCCAGGCGAAATGCTAAGTTTTCGTATCCCGCTGCTCCTCCTCCTCCAACACGCCCTGCCTTTTATATTTGCAGATATGGTTGTCGGTGCTTTCGTGGGCTGGTCTGCGTACATCTGCAACCGTTGCCGGTTGCTCGACTTCTTTTCGGGCATTTCACCGCACTGTCGCTTCCTCTCCGGCACTGCTGGCGCGCGCTCTCGTGGTGGATCACGGTCCTGCAGGCGCTGTTGCTAATCTTTATGGCAGCCCCGCAGGTCACCCCAATAACAGGCACGCCGTACACAGCGACGTGGATATAGCCGCTACGCTGCGCCATGTATTGGTCCTTTCAGCAACAGCCTCACGGGCCGGGGAAGGCGCCGCTGCAGCCGCTTTTGCTACAGCCGTCGTTACCGCCGCCGTGGAATACAGCGCCTCCGCAGCCGTGGCCACCGTCGCCGCCATTGCGGCTGCGGAGGCAGCGGCCGTGGAGGCCGCCAGTGGGGACGGCGGTGTGGCCGTGAAGCCCCTGCCACCTATTCCTGCAGTTACGTCGCAGGACACTGCTGCCATAGGTATGGCTTGCTGTGTTAACTCACTTAACGATCACACTCAGGCTCGCCCGTAGCCAACTAGTTGCCAGCAATCTGTAGAATGGCATTGCCTGTAGCATGTAGTTTAGCCAACGCATCCGTCTCCATCCGTCCCCAGCCGCCCGGGTGAAGAACATCTTGACGACCGCTGGCGGGTTGGCTGCTTCTCGGATCAGCTGATAGCGACAGCAGTCATGTATGGTGTGTCCTGCTCCGTGCAGCGAATGCGCCTCCCAGATGCGCCTCTCCTTCCCGTTCCTTTTCCGCTCGGCACAGCTCGATCCTTATCCATTTTTCCTCTGTGTTTCTCTCCGTCTCTTTGCCAGGTTGGGGCGACGGCGGTGCCGTTGCTTTACATCGGCTAGTTGGGGGGCTGCTTTGTGCCGCCTCCGCCGCGGGCCATGTGTTGATGGCAGCGATGGCTCTGTCCCTCGGAGCGGGGGAGGGGGACAGGGATAGGGCCCTAGTGGCAGCGAGCGCAGCTGGTCGCAGGAGAGTCGTACGGCTGCTGCTGGCGAATGGCGCGGATCCAGAGGCCGCAGAGGCGTACGGCTACTCCGCGCTGTACGAGGCGGCGCGCAAGTGAGTGTACGGCCCTCATTGTAAAGGGGGGACAATACAGGAATGGGAAAGAGTGTAGGGTTGTGTCACGGGCTGGAAGGAAGCAGCTGCCGTAATGATGCGAGTAATGCATCTGCCCATAGGAGTACGGCACTTGTGTGCGTGCGGTGATGCTTGTGTGTCGTACACCTTGGGTCTTCTTCCTGACCTGGCGCGCTTCGTGGTCCCTCGCGCTCTTGTGCAGCGGCAATACCGACGTCGTCGAAGTGCTGCTTGACGCGGGAGCTCGCATTGATGGCGCAACCGCTGCAGCTGCTGCTATGCCGTACGAAGGAAGGATTCCATCGATGTTCGGGTCTTGGAGTGTCCCGCGGCCCAGCGCGGCGCCGCCGCCCGCCAACCCCCACTCCGATCCAGACCCTGGGAAGTTACGGCCGACCGCGATTAGTGGCGGCGGCGGTGGCGGCAACGTTAATCTTCCTGGAGCGGTCGCCCCGTATCCGCCTCCGCTGCGCGCTCCTTTTCCGCTGGCAGCAGGTATGATATCTGGCGATGGTGACGGCGGCGGTGGCGGATCCCCAGCGGCAGGCTTGGTTGTGCCGGCGCCGAAGGTGTTCGATCCGGAAGAATTTTACCGTGACAGTGATAGCGGCGGCGGTGGTGGAGCCGCCGTTGCGACTCCGCGGCGCTGGGACGAGTATCCGAAGACGCCGACCGCCACTGCGGCCGCCGCTGCCGCAAAAGCATGGGACAGTGATGACGACGACGATGATGATGATGACGATGATGAAGGAGCGGGTGGCGCCGGTGCCGGCAAAGCTGGCGGTGCCTTCGCTGGGAGCGGGACCATTGCCGGTGATACCGGGGTCAGCGGTGCCGGCGGTCCTCGCACTTCTGTTCAGGTCGGCGGCCTCAACGGCGTGGTACCGCTTCCTCCGCGGTTGCCGCCGCCGCTGCCCCGGCGGAAGCAGCCGTTGCCGCTGCCACCCAACTTGGCTGCCCTGCCGCTGATGCCATCCCTTACGTATGGGGCGCCGCCGCCACTGCCGCCGCCACTGATGCTCCTGTTGGCCGGGCCGGGGGAGCGCAGTATATCCCCCCGCCGCAGCGGCCCATCGCCGCTGCTGGCGGCGATACAAGGTGGCCATGCGGCTACTGTCGCGTTGCTGCTGCACCGCGGCGCCAAGGTCGACACCGACGGCGGCGCGGAGCTGCTGGCGGCGGCGCACCCGCAAATAGTGGATGGGCTGATGGCTGCCGTACCCGGCCTTTCCGCACACCTCGGCCCGGCACTGCTGGCTGCTGCGTCGAGCAACAGGGTCAATGTGGTCAGCGCGCTGCTCCGTCACGGCGCCGACCCGACCTTCCGGGGCGGCATGGCGCTCCAGGAAGCCGCATTCCGGGTGAGTGAGCGGCTAGAGCTGCCCGTCTCGTTTGGCACTGGGGCTCTTGGGGCTGGGACGAACTAGTTGAACTTTGCTTGCTGTTCGTTTTTCATAGAACATGACACATTTCCCAGCCTGTCATTCCCCGTAGTTTGTATCCCTCGTCTCCTCCCTGCCCCCGACGTCCCCCCTCCCCCCGGCTTCTTCACAACCGCCGACTGGTTGTTGGCTATGCTTTTTTAACATCTGCCGCAGCAGTCTTTCCTTGGCATCAATCAGCTTCACTCGCTCGTGGTTCGTCTTTTCCCCCTTCCCGACGTTCCCCAGAGCCATGTGGATGTACTGAAGGTGCTGCTTCAGGCGGACCGAGATCGGCTGCGGGACATCGGCGCGGTGGAGGCTGCACTGAAGTGGGCCCGCTGCTTTGGCCGCATGGAGGTCCTGAAGCTCCTGGGGGGCCTCCCCTTCAGGTCCACTGAGCTGCCGGGTTCCGGAGCTGCTGACCCAGGTCCCGGCCATACGTAGGGGGCCGCCTGGCGTTGCGAAAAGGGCCCGGATGTCATCCTGGACTGCCCTTTCGTTATTAGGGGCCCTACATCACGGCGCTCTGATCGAGCGGGCGCTACGTGGCTGCGGTGGGAAGGTGAGGGCAGCGAGAATGCGGAAGTTGAGGAGGAGACGTGTCGGCGGACGACCTTCACTTCGGCGCGTGACGCCATTGCTTGGCAAGAGCTGCGAGTTCGTTGGCTCTCTTGACCCATGGGACAGACCCGTAAGTCCCTGCAGCTACAGGGCACCCGGAACCTCCACATTGATTTTCACCTTATTGATAGCCCCTGGGGGGGCCGCATAGCCCAGAAGCGGTGCCCACCGGAGCGCAAATGCCCCTATTGGCACTTGGCTCGCTCGCGTTGTTGCTGGTGGTGGTTGCGGTGGCGGCGGGTGAGGTGGCGGCGGGTGAGGTGGGCGGGTCGAGGTCGCGGACCTCGGCCTAGCAGCACATCGCCCATAAGTTGCGCCAATAAGCGCCACCCGCAGCCTTAGCTACCCCCTGGCTTAACAACGCGGGCACTACTAGTTTTTCCAATGTGGATATGTCAGTCCATCCGCGTATGGAGCTACGGAGAAGAGACACATGTACAACATGCAAACCGACATGTGTACGCATTCTCTCACTCTCCCACCCACATATCGTGTATGTGGCGTCTTGTCGCAACCCTGAATGGATGCAGTGATGATTTCCACCTCTTTCGGCTTGAGAAGAGTTTTATGCTTGCTTACTCGGTATTAGTGCAGGAGGGGAACGGACGTCCAAACTGGCGGACTTGTTGTTGCGAAATATTTGACGGCACGGCGGTGCGTGGACTGCTCTTGTGTGTTTGTGGAGGGGGGCGGGCCGCAGGATTGGTGGGATCTCAGCATCCCACGCTATGGGGATACTACCGTAGACGAATTGAACGAGGCTCTCAGGTCGTTGGCTGGCTCTCTGGGCCGAAGCGAGGGGGGCTGTCCAAGCACATGCGGTGCAAGTGACGTACCTTTCTCGACCGATGGGCCGCAGGATGTTTACTGGCATCTGCATGTTCACTCGGTAATGGACGCAGCTGGTCTATCAGGCATGAGGCGTATGTACTCCAAGCGCTCCTAGGGGTAGCTGCTCAGAGGGTTTGGTGTTACGATGGGTGTTGCTTGTTTAGGCACGGGACGGCGCAGGGCGATGGTACAGCTTCGAGGGGGGCTTTGGGACAGGGTGGCCGAACGTACTTGTCGGTTTAAGGGGAAAGGAAGGGGGGGGCATGAAGAGGGGTTTGGGATGGGGGAGGCTGGAGAAAGGCGGAGAAGCAGTATTGCTGTGCAGGGCCTCTTCCCACACCGGGGTATTCATTCGCTTTCTGCTGGCGGTGCTCGCATTCCTCATATATATCACCGAACGTGATGCTGCAATCCTTCTTCAGCACTGAAGGTCGGGACGGGGCGGCAGAGCCGGTTTCCTTTCCGTTCATGAAGTTACGCAAGAATGCAAGAATTGTTGTTTCAGAAGAAGTGGTCATCTAGCATGTACAGCATGTATGATGGGCTCAGCGTCCGGCTGGCATTCGGGTGCCCCGCCGAGGCGGCGAAGGCTTTTGCGTTTTGGTCTAATGTTTTCCCTTCTTATTTTTGTTTACGTGGTGGATGAAAAGATTTCGATGTACACGCTAGCTACTGTTCGCGCTGTGCTGTGGTTGGTACAACTTGGTGAGAGTGGTGACGATTATTGCGTATCACCGGAGACGCGAGCTTTACATCGACATCAACCGCAGTTGCAGCAATACCGGAACCGGTAATTGCTGCGAGGGTTCGCAATGGCCTTGTTGGTGCTAATGTGTGCTGGTATGTATCAAAGTTTGGCGCCCGGCAGTATGCTCTGAGATGTGACATCCTTGTCTGTGCCCTCTTGGCCTCAGCAGTGTTGCTTTGCAAATTTTGATAGTTCGGATGGACGTCTTATTAGCGTAGCTTCTCGTTCTTCGTTGCCTTAGCTGTGGCGTACGGCATGGCTATGGCATCTGAAGATCATGGAGCGGATATAGTTTGGCTAGTTTAGAGTACGTGTGGCGATGTCAATCTTCTTTCTTGTTTGCTTCTATCCGGTGGAAATCGCTTTGGGACCTCGCCGGCACGTATTTCTTCGTGTTTGGCGGGGTTCCCTAGCATTTCTGAACGGCTGCTAAGATTTTCGAGAGCTCCAACCGTACACAATCTACTTTCAAGTCCTCCGTACCTCACCTCATGTGTTGAGCGGAAGTGGTTTGGCCGCAGGCGGCAGCGTTGGTGCGGCTCCCGAATTCTGCGGGTCCCTTCCCCTAAGCAATGCTTCCATTCTGTTGTGCGTTGTTAAGTTTTCTGTTGGTTACCCTGCATATCAAATGTATGACTCCACATAAATCATTAAGCTACTAAAGAAAGATTTATCTCTAATGGCTGCCCACGAGACGTCGGTCGTCTGTGTGCAAAGGGCCTTAAGGGCCATGTTTTCCTTCTTTCATATCCCAATCTTTCGGAACCTTCTCCTCCTCAAGTTTCTGTTGAAGTTATTTTGCATTACATCGCAGAGATTGCTGGGTTGCACTCGCAGGTGCCGCATATCATTGCTGTGGAGCCTGCTTTTGCCCATGCTATGCAAGGTGGCGGCGGCTTGTTTAGGGTCGGGTTGCCAGTGGCGGTTTGCAAGTAATGCGGGTTATAATTGTTGGCGGTGTGGACGGATGAATTGCCCTTGCGTTTCTTGAGCACGCGGCGAATTCATGAGGGTTGTAAGGTGAGGCGGCTTGTGTGTGTGTGCGTGTGCATGTGTGGATAGAAGTGAGCAGCACTCAGCTGCTATTTGCCTGGCGGCAGGGCCCACCGCATGCAGGAGGTCTATGGGGCCGAGGGTGCCGGTTCTTCAGGGGGCCCTGCCCGTGTTTTGCCCCCCCCGTAGCTTGTCGAGTCTTGACAGCTTTATCGGGCTGCCTATCCTTCTCCTGAAGCACCGCCCCAAACGTATGTAAAATAACCGACGTTGTGTCCATGTTGGTGTTGGTTACGATGTGGGTTGGTGATGGATGGTTGGAAATGGTTGGTAGTGGTGCTGGATGTGGTGACTTAGGTATAGTGGCGGTAGAGGCAGGGCGTTTCCGACTTCGGGGAGGAGTGTTGGCGGCAGGAGCTTGGAGGTGGGCTGGCGGATGGCCGAGTGGGCCCCTGTCGGCCGCCTGTCCGCCGTATGGACATGTTGCGGCGGATGGGCTGCGAGGGGCGCCCCGACAGCTGCAACAGCGGAATGCCGTCGGGTGCATACCACTGACTCGAGCAAGTGTGCACTGCCACCGTGTTAACGTGCTGCAGGTGACTGCTACTTACGTTGGGGCATAGCTCGTGCGTATGTATGTATGTATGTATATATATATAAGAAAACTTACTTCAGAGGTTTTCCCTGGTCCCTGAGCCCGGAGAGTGTCCTGACACCCTCTTGTATATTGCTACACATCGTCACCACCACCATCGCAACCATTACCATCATCACCGCTGCTTAAGGTTGCAGCGGTGCGAGCGGGCGGCCATGTTTCCCTTGGCGTCCGTGTAGCGTGCTTGTCCGTGAGGCAAATGAAGAGCTGGCCATGCATAACCGTTCGGGGCACCCGTCCCCTTTCATTGGCATGGCTGCATTTGCCACATGGCACTGTCTTCCACTGCGGACCGCGGCTTTGATGGCCGTGTCACAGCGCTCTGTGTTGACGGACTGCAGGTTCGTTACCCGGGGTTGGGGTTGTGCTTATTGCCTTCCCGGCTTATGCTCTCTTTTGTGAACTTCACCGCTTCCTATTCGGACCGACTGGACAACAGCGGGGGCATTCCCTGGCTTCCCAAGGAAAGGCCCCCACTGGGGGGGACCGCCGCATCGTGACACATCTTCCTCGATGCTCTCCGTCTTGAAAATTTCCAGGCGCCGCACGGTACGGCGTGCTATACTTGGCGAATTGAGTCGTCTTTGATCGCTATGTGGCCAAAGCATCTTTTTAGTCTTTTGACGGGTAACTTTCCTAGTACAGACTCAGGATATCATTACCATTCAGTTTTCGGTTGCAAGTAATTTTCCTCCCGGGTAGTAATATATTATATTATATTGTATGGTCACATTACAGGGCCAACGGGGGCCAGGCAGTTTTGCCGCGCGCCTATGCTGTACCGGACAGAACGGAACTCCCTTCCCTACCGGGCGGCAGATTGGCTGAGCGGCAGATTGCAGCCTTGTTTGCACGGAGTAGCATCCGTCGGGAAGTAATGGTGGTGTAGGGGGCGAGGAGACTTGAGGGCTTCCCCCTCGGGACGGATCCCACACTCGCCGCTTTGCTCGTACATGGGTTTCAGGCATTGCGGACGGCATGTTTCTACGGCTGCTATGCAGTAGAAAGCCGTATGATATCTGATATAAGATTCCGTTAACGTTCATGGTCGGGTTAATATTACCTCATGTACGCCGGTGAGGCCTGTGCTATCTCTGTGGTGGTGCCGTAGTGACGCTGTTTGCAGTATCATTCTGGCAATTTGCGTTACGTTAAATTTTGTTACGCGGGTTCTAATTTGGGGGGGGTGAGCATGTGGGCAACATCAGAGGGCCTTTTGTGTAGGCCCAGGTGCCGGGGCTCCTTTGCTGGTAGCAGGTTAGTTAGCAGGCGATCAAGGCACTGGGATGCGATTTTTCTCTTGGGGCGCCGTACAAACGCACACTTGCGAGGTTGAGCCAGCAGAGGAATGTTGGCTTGAGCAATATGATTGCATGACCATCTTGCAGTGCTATGTACTCTACATGGTACGGCTGTACGCCATATCGCATACTTAGTGCGAGCAGGTTGGTACGAGCGCCGTTGCTTAACGGGATTTTGAGGATGTACTGATGGCCCGCAGCTTCGCTTGACTTGGAGATTTCGTTGGCCTGAGGTTTCCTTTTTTTGCGCCTTATACTGCACAGTGGGCAGTCGGAAGAAGAAGAAGGCAAAGCA